AGAGGATACGGCTCTTGACCCTTCACTACACCGAGACGATTCTTTGCATGATGAGCGCCTGCCTTGGCTTTGGCTTTGTCGGCGGCTAGAGCTGTTGTAACGCCACCCTTTGCCGTACCGCGGATAAAGTTCATGATGCGGTGAGATTTCTTGTGCTTTGTCTTTTCTTCCTCCTCTTCCTGTTCATCTTCGTGGATGATGTTTGGATCAGGCTGGACAGCCTCAGCAATTTCGCTCTGTGATACTCCTTCTGGTGGTGTTAGTATGAGTTGAACTTTGATCAGTGAATGGTACACACCTAGATGCTCCAAGCCCTCTCCAGCAGTCTCGTGGGGAACAGTCGGGGGAGGCACGTCGGAAGAAGGAGGCGGTGGCAAAGGAGCCTTGTTCTTCTCACCAATACGAAGAAGAGTGATAGCCAACTGCGCATTGGTAGGGACACCTCGAAGAATAGTGTTTCGCAATTCGACATACTTCTCCCAGCGAGGATACGTCCTGTTGATGAAGTTCATGGTAGGTGTGATGATGGGATCACCGAAGAATCCGAATCCAGCAGCAAATCCCATACCCTTCATGGCCATGTAGGGAGTCGTGAACCAAGCTCCGAGAAGCATGGGTATAAGAACACCAATGAGAATGAACTTGGGCCGATGACGATGGAAAGGTGCTGCCGGACTCAAAGCGTTGCCGAATCGTTCCCAGGTATCAACAAAGTCAGCAATCAGATGCATCGTCGGACGCGCCTTATCCCAGACAGCATTCGAAACCGGCTTCTTGGCTCTGTTATGTTCAGCATGAGGATTCTCTCCAACAGATTTCTGTCTAGCCTCGGTAGCCACTTCAGTGAGTTCCGTCGGGTCAGGCGCAGCGCTATCATCGTCGGGATCCGTCTGGGGGTGTTTACCCGCGGCCGTGCTAACAACAATCTACAATCACTCAGTCTTCAATCTTGAGGTTTTAAAAAAGCAAAGCTTACACCAGAACATACCGTAGACAAGCTCGTCACAAAGCTATGAGCCTCCTGCTCGACTGCTTCACCCTTGTGCTTCTCCGGCGCACCAGTGACTGAATCATCAGACGCTAGAACACCAGCGGCTGGTTTCTTGACACCTCCTGTTTTGGAGTCGATTATCGAGGGCGGTGCTCCAGGGAAACAGATGTCGCGGGCCTCGTGGGACCAGATGAGTACCATGAGGAAGGCAATGATCGTGGGGCCGAGAATGTCGAGAAGCCATGCGAGTGTGTATACTGAGAGGAACGCAGATGTTCGCTGATACTCCCTCCAAGAACGAAGACGCACGATATGCTTCCAGAACGAAAACAGCTGCGCAAACACAGAAACGTAGAGTCGCTCGATCTGCGCTCTAAGCTTCTCAGGCGAAAACTCTTCTTCGTCTGCAATGTTCATATCTAGCATTCCCAGCGGGGGCTCCTCGATACTCCTGACATAAAAGACCTGCTTATCGAAGCGTCGTATCAAAGCCCAGACATCTTCATTCTTCAAGCCTCCCACCAGCGGGGGCACGACGCGGGGAGGTTCGTTCCATCCGAGATTTTTGACCTCGACGTCGCCGTGCTCAAGCTGCGCTGCGCCTTTTTCTTCAAAGTTTTGAGATTCTTCGGCGAGGGCGTGGCTGACGGTTGGGGCTTCTTCTTGGTGCTGTTCTATTATTTCTGGTTCGCTTCCTGTGTTGCTTGCTGTGAAGCTACGGTTTGGGCCGTCTGTTGTAGCCATGATGTCTACTATCGTTCAACTGTAATCGCAAGCGCAGGTGTGATTAATGGGGAATTGGAGTTGTTATGCCTTCATATCTCTTGAGCTGGAATTCGATGCCCCGCCTCCTACGTCAAAATGCCAGGGAATCAGTATCATGACATCTGCCCTCCTTACGTGACGTCATAAGATCTTAGATTATCGAGCGACAGCTGCAACCAACAAAGCATTTATTTCCCAATCACAGCAACTTATTCCCCGGAAAAGCAAACACAGTGTATGTATCACCTAAAGCGTAAAATTCAGTGGATATCGATAGCTGTCGTAAGCTCTATTCAGCTTGTGCAGTACTGGATGCAACCTCCACGTCACGGTTCCGCAAATGACACAAACGGGCCTTGGTTAGCGTCTTGATCTGAACATCGCAACCTTGTTGGTGAGATGCTCGTACCCTGTTTTGATGTGCAGGTTTGCTTGGATGATGAGGCTCGGTCATGGATTTCGTCGATCCCGGGTGTAACCTCCGGCGTGGGGCCGATTGCCGATATCACGGAGGACATCGTCCGGAGGTTGGCAGCTCCAGAGGCGGTGATTCGTTGGGATTTGTAGATAAACGATAGCTGAAGGGTGAATGCTACCCTGAACCAAGCCTCGTCGTCACTGTTTATGTCGGATGAGACTTTTTTTTTGGAACAACAACTGAGTCTGTAGGTGATTCCTGGTTTCATGACATATCATGAGCACATTCACTGTCTTATGTACGGCATTTTCAGGCTGACGCCATTTCGAACAACATCAATTAGAGTACCTTACTTCCTGTATCGCGTATCGCAGCCACTGAGCCTATATATACTCGTTCTCTTGAGAGGATAGATAGACAAGTGTCACCGGATACACCGTTCGAGATTGGGGAGTACTACCTCTCCCCAAGAAGAGGCGAAAAGAATGCCAGTTCAATTCAGTAAAAGCGAGTCACTTTTTGATGAGACGTACTTGATGCTGCCCTCTTTCTCACTGCAGAGCAACAGGATACAAGTGTTTCTAGTGAACCTAACGCCCTTGTTTTGTGCTATATTCAGACTGGAGGTTCTTGACATATCGCGACCAGGAGATTTCGCGATACATAATGTCTCTATCTTCAAGATAAAGGCAGAAATCTTGATGATCTTCTCTTCCTAAAGTTCTTGTTCGCGGTCCCTTCAGATCTCCTTCCAGTGAAGCGATCGATTCAGCAGTCAACTCAACTACCCGGTAGCTCCAAGAACTGATGACACATTTCATCACGAACTGACCATTGAAGCGGGCAGTTTACTCGGAGCTTTGTTCTGTGTTTATAAAGCTTTTCTCTTCTTAGATTCATCATATTTTCCCGGCCTTAGTCGTGAACTGGATAAGACCCAAGCTCAAGTTCATCAATATGCTGTGGTCTTAGTACCACCACCATTACTCCAGATTTCACGAACAACACCCGCGAACAGTTTCGCACGACTTCTTACCCTTTATCGATATCATTTATAACACCCAAGGCTAACACAATATCTATACCACGAAAACAGGACTGGTAAACGTATAGCGTAGTACTCAAAAGGACAGGAAGCTAATCTTGTCTACCCTAAAGCTTCGACATCACAAACACGCAATGCTCAGATTCAACCGCTTCACTTCAACCATTTCCGTTCAGCCGGGATCAGACATTCAGCGCACATCTAATTACATTCATGGGACTTTCATCCGTGCCACTAATAATTGCCGAGCTTGATTGGTTTGAGAGCTTGAAAGCTCACCCTCAAAAGGGACACACAACTTACGATAACCTCAGTACAAACCCAAGACGTCAATCCGCCTACGAGCGAAGCCAGTACACACGTCCAGGTACATCCATTGAGCCATATCGAATCCTCTCTTCCGAAAAACACCGATAAACGTCTTGATCCTGCCACGCGCCATTTCCCGGTCCAGCGTCTTGATACCGGGTTCAACAGGCAGCATCACAACACCTCTGCATACCCTCAATGATCTACAACACATTAATTGAGGCATATAGACACGTCAACTTACCTCCCCCGACATCCCATTCCCTCTCGCCACAATAAGGCCTCGTTCTTCCCCAGGCGGTAATTCCGCATACTCAACTCATCACGCGAAACTGATTGGACGAACCAAGTGTGATATCTCGTACAGCAGCGAGGCCAGAACAGCTCTACCCCAGAAACCGGTGAGGCCTAGCTACAGAGCGGCCAACGCAACATAGCATACCATTGAACTTGGCAGCCTCGTGGGGTGAGGTAATGCTATCTGAGGAGACAAATTCCTCCCCCACACGCGCGCGCGATACAACTCATTGATTGTGACAGCCTCGACCACGGGATCAGAATCTGGGCGAATGAGCATCCGCCACACGGCGCGTCAATTTAATGGTGAACAGGGCCCGGGGAAAAGATACTTTCTTTTTGGATGAACCAGCCAGGTATAGCGAAGCAAAGGAAAGAAAGGCAAAAAGCAACAATGCATCAGCGGTGAGGTGGGCTGCAATGGCAAGGATTCATCAGCGCTTTCATTCCGACAACACAGTGAAAACGATACCTTAAGTAAGGTTATGAAGTCCGAGTCTTTCGATGATTTCAGCGCGTCAGCCTTGCATTACAGATGAATTTGGCTTTGTCACCATTGCAGATGCGCCCCTCCCCCCCCCCGGCTCGAGCCAACGAGTACAAGTCTCTTCATCGTATAGCAGGCCTGGCTGATGTACCCTATAGTATGCAGATCGCAAATGGCGTCCTCAGCACTCTCAAACTCCGACTTGAGAGCAGGATTCTCTCGCTCAAGCCCTGCCTCCTTGCCACATATGTTGCAGACGTGAAAATTAGCGTGCTTTCGTGAGATACACCACGTCAGGACGTATGGTGACTAAGAGCGAGGAGCTGGGAATCCTAATGGACCAACTGAGCCTGGAGCAGCTGCAGGCCTTTGATAGCCGATTCCTGGATGATATCAAGGACATATTCAACTACGAGGCTACGTAGTGTCGGGACAGGGAATGCCCAAGGTGGCACCAGCCGAGCAGGTGTGCATGAGCAGAGTGAGGTCCTCAAGGCTATGTTGCAACATATGCGTTTGATAGATGGCTCGAAGGCTATGGTCGGAGTACGGAAATCGGTAAGGTAAAAGCTGATCTAATTTTCAGGTAAGATATAGATCAACTATGGTGATTATTTTCATCAGTTTTTGCAATAACATAAAGCAGAATAAGGACAAGTGAAGAGAACTTGTAGAGTTGGTGATAGTGTCAGACATGAAGACCCCAGATGGATTGACCGTGGCCAGTTCCCGAAACCATGGCTGTAGGCCCATATGGGCTGGCGTCTCCGTAGGCTTCTCGACCAGCACTCAATAACAGCTCAGCTTAGAGCAAGGACTCAGTTTCGGAACCGGAATGGACTTGGTACTCTTGAGTTCCGTCCCAGAGTACTGCGGTATCCATGCCATTTTCACCCAGCAGGACCCGCGAGACCACGTGCCTTACCGAGGCGAAGTTGTTTCATCGAAATGACAGAAACATGTCACCAAGTAGTTCGGACGATTTGATGGCGGGATGAAGTGGCATCCCACTGGCGCGAGGAACGACTGACTGGTTGGACAAGCCAGTCCTGTGTTAGCACAGGCCTGCGAAGGTCAGACGATTCGGTAGTCAGCGTCGAATACTGCACAAGTCAACTGCAACTGCAACTACATTGAGTTCAGGGCAGGCAAAAAAGTGCCTGCAGTAAATTCAGGAGGTGTCCAGTGACTTTGCATGCAGCAATTGGGAAAACGTAGGATCCTGAGCGCAAGTCAATGACAACCTCGTGCATCCAGACCTGAAATGCCGAATAACCCGAGCATCAAATTTCCGCGCTTACGGTGAAAATGAGCAGAATCTTGCTAAGCAGAAGCAGAGACCGACATGTGCATCGCGTCGCGCCGCAGCACATGAAGGAGGATTGGCCGTGCCTCAATGCCATGTCCCAGTCCAAAAGTCAGCCGCACGAGAAGCCACGGCCACACGCGAACCCTTGTCGCGATCGTCAGGAACGAGACACACCAAAAGCCTCCGGACCCAATGCCCGCTGGCCGCGCCCCTTTTTAGGCATAGCCAGGGCAATTTTGCAGGTAAGCAAAGTGAATGTTGCAGAGGCTGAGAAGAAGAAAAAGTCAAACAGCCACAGTCGAAAGCTTTTTCATCAGAGTTGAGACATTATTCCTCTCCCTGCGGCCGCTCAAATTACCTGGGTTCCTTTTCGTGTGTTCCGTTGTAACCCATCCAGTGAACCATAACGCCTGGAGTTAATATGCAATAAGCAATTCAAAAGCTTACATCCTGCAGTCGAGTCTGCTTCCACCCAACTTCCAACTGCTGCGTGTGGATACAAGGGAACCCCTTCCATAGGCCTGCATATCGACCGATTTCCCTCCCGCTGACGTTCCCCCACGATACATCGCAGATTACCATCACATTATCAGTTCCCGGTGGCTTCTCTTCTCAGCGATGCACTTCTCACGGAGACACTCGGAGCCGCTTCTCGGAGAGCAGCCAAGAGGGACAAAAAGACGCGGCGTGGGGCCGGTGGAAGACTCTTTCATGATGACGGAAAAAGAAAGGCAAGACTGAAAATTCTGATCCTGTAAGCCCGGTGGAGATGCATGTGGGAATCTTCTGGCCAAGCACCCAAGGCACACAAACTGTCGTCAGCGTTGTTCTCCTCTGTTCCTGACAAAGCCCCAGCATCTGGTCTTGGTTGGTCCAATTGTGGTTCAGCTTGACGCCAATCTATTCCACATTCTGTCTGAGGCCGAGTTGGCGATGATGTTTTGGCGTTCCTGCAGATGGATGCTTCACGAGCCGGCCGACTTCAAGCACATGGCTTCTAAGCATATCTGCGCTTGATGTAACGGTCAAGCCTTTCGGGGAACAATCCAAGTATCCCGTTCGGATCGTGACGTGCATCTTACGAGCCGAAATAGACTCAACGACGTTACCTCAAAGCTGCAAGCGATAGAGTCGCGATTGGCTGCAGTAGACGAAGTCGTCAACAATTCATGAGGCTCATGCACATTTCCTAGCATTTTGGGGCGTCTCGCAGGCTCTGAGTGGCAGGATGTGTGCTGTAAACTCACAGTTGTGCCTTTTGTGGGTGACATCGCGATTAACGACGTTGACGGACGATGTAACCCACACTGGAAGAATTTGAGGCCATTGCCCAATCGAGTTTTCTTGGGAAGAGCACTAGTATCGCCACCAGGAACCGATGTCAAGGCGATCTCGGTGGCTTGAGACCTCAGACCTGGCTACATCGAGAGATCGTTGCAGACTCACATGCTTCAACAAATCTCAATTGCCAAAGATATCAGACAATATGTTGAGTGCTACACAGTGTGCATTTGCTCGGCCCTGCTCTCATACGTTTTCATTCAGCATGTTCATGAAATGGCAATCACATATGCAAACGTCGCATTATGCTGTTGTGAAAGTAGCATTCAGTCAATGGAATGCAAGCCATTGCAGCCGCAGCCGTTGGAGTGCCGTGAAACACAACGGTATAAGCGGCGGCCCGTGTGTCATTCCCGATGTTGATTCTTACACCATGGCTGAACTCTGTTCTCAACAAAGTGACCACAAAGTCATAACGTCCATGTTAAGGTCAAGGTAATTCGCGGGCTTCCACATTGAAGACCGTGCTTCAATTGTTGTCTTGATCAGAATCTCGTCATAGCCGCGGCGTTTTGACCGTTAGTAAAGAGCGTGCAGGTGTAGTGTGGCGCCCAGAGGTTCAATTGAACGGTCCGACACCAGTAAGCGTCGCAAACTCTGCTATCTTTTCATCCTGGCCACGAGTTTTCAAATTGGCAAAGAGACTAAATTCCAAGAGATGATGTTGATCATGATGACAATGACGGCATTTGGTGGATTCTTGCTGAAGCTCTTTCACTCAGGCACCCGCAGCCTTGGTTAAGCTTCTTTCCTTGTTGGTGAGGGATCGTCGCAATCATCATGATGATGGTTCTGCCTTGCGACCGAGGCATCAACATCCTGCGGCGGGTCAAAGGAAAGGTCCTGCTGCAAGAGGCCTAAACGGGAGTGGTCAACCAATCATCAAGCCCTAGTTAACGAAGACTTTTATCAGCCACGAGATGAGAGCAGAAGCAAGCAACTTCGGCGCAATTAATTGTGCCTCGGATGGGACTCTCAAGCCCTAGTAGTTGAAAGATGGTGGAGGGGTCGGAATCTCTCTCTGCTGGATTGAGTTCGTACGAACATGGATTGAGAACATTGAAGATTCCGAGTTGCACCCGGGGTGTGATAGAGTTGTTAACTTCAACTCTGGGACATTGGTTGTCAGGACACAGCTCGCCATTGGCGGAAAGAGTACCTCAATGGTGTGCCTCAAAAGATCATCAGTATGAACTTGTTCCTTCATCCAAGGACCTCAGCCACATGAACGGCCTTGGAATACTGGTAGTAGTAACAAGATATGGAACTCCGGCACCGGACGAGCAACTGGCTCTCAGAGAAGGTGCTGTCAAGCCGAACTTCTGTCTCCTCTCAACAGTTACGCTTCCGTCTTCCTGCGTGTCTGACAGCTCAAGGAACTGCTAAGTGTAAACTCAAACAGACACTTCTAAGCGATGTGTTCTGGAGATTAATAAGACTCGATAGTAGCGCCACTGGAATTGGGACTGGGGCCGAGCCTATCCATCACAGCAATTCGCGCATTATAGCGCCCATGCCCATATAACGAAGCTAGAGTCTCGGTGTTGGATTTGTAACTTTGTTCACCATGGCGCAATCGTTATGAATGTCAAATGCAAGCGAGCAAAACCGGCAGGTCTGAACCATCGAGAATGGAAGTCATTGTGTGACTGTTGTAAAGCCTTGAAATGGAGCCTCTCAACACCCATGTCCATCCAGATTAAAAGGTCCCAACGACAAGGAACACAAGCGCAAATGCGGAAACCTTGGAAGCTTCCGCGGATAAAACGGTCAGCCTCCAAAAGGCTTCCTTCCAATGTCGGCCCAGGTACCGTGGTGAGGCTAATGCAACAGGGCTTCAACCCGGGGCTCAGGGTCATCGTGGCTGCTGGAGGATGGCTAAGGGTCTGGCAACACGCCGACAACTGGCGGTACACATCACTAGTCGCATCTTGCGTGCTGGTCGGTAAAAGAGGATGCAATCGGTGTATTCATCCGAGAACGGTGATGCTTCAGGACGCAAATTCATGCTGATGGGGCATGTAGTTGCTTCAATACGAGCAGATTTGTAATTCTCCGACGCTCTCCACGAATTGCTTGCCTATTCCCCAGGCGATCAACACTTGGAGATCGCGATGTTGACCGATGAAAGACGACTGGTTAGGAACCTGGCAGATCGACACAGTCACAGACAACGACTGGAGACAAGTAAAATGAGCAGTTGAGGGTTAAGCTTTTCATCAAACAACTGTTCCCGGAGCGTTGGACGCCGGTGCAAGTTGGCGTGGCTTTGGCAGCCTCTCGGTGTCAAGCTTTGCAGCCACGCAGACCCGCTGGCGAGGCTAGAGGGACTTCCATGTTCTTCCATGGGATCCCGGCGCACCATCGGCGTCGCTTCCCTTCCGCTGGGAAGCTTGGACTGCGGACGCTATGCCGCGATGGGTAGGCGTGCCCCGTTGGCCACGAGTCTGTCGCGCGACAGGATGCAAAGGCCTTCGAAGACATGACATGACATGACAAAGCAAAGAAATGAAGGACATGGAAGGCCTTGTTTGTCAATGACAAGGTTGAGGAATCGTGAGTTGCGACATTGTGTCGATGTATCTCGATGCATTCACTCGATGTGTCACTCCATCTTGAATATCGTCAAGGGTCTTGAAGGCAGACGAGGACCAACCACTAGGCGAGAATGCGGCCTTTTGGAGGGGCGCGGGACGATTCAATGGCCTCGAACAAGGCGACTGCGAATGACTCTCTGTCGTCCACTGAAAAGAAGCAAATCAATTGAATCGGAAACATCCGTCCTCGCTCTGACGAAATGGCCGGCGGTTGAAACTTGACCGGTAGTTGACTGTAGGCGGTCAACTCAGCCAAACGGTCAGTTGAGGCCCAAGTCATGAACTGGAAACACAGCGGGTGGAATTGCGAGCACGGGGACGGGGAAACGGGAAGACCCAGTTGTCTCGCGGAAACAAGGCCAACTCAAGTCTCTATCTCAAAGGGAAGTGATCGACAAGATGGCTTCTTCCATTGAAGCTGTGAAAACGACGTAATATTGCATGGCCAGAGAGCTCAACAAGTTTATTCAGCCGGTGCCATGGAAAAATAGACAAGAGGTGGTTGCTTTTTTCGCGCATACTGTAGAGTTGAGTTCTGCCGTCAGCGGCTTCGGTCAACGGTTTGGCAAGATTCGGTTGCTGGTTCTGGTTTGAGTTTATTGGTGGCGGGATCAAAGACCGAAAATTGGAAGCTCAGCAGAGAAATGCTCGGGCTGGATTTCCGCTCGCACTGGATGGAAAGCCAGCACGCGCGGGGTTTCCACAACGGCACAAGTCGCCTGAGGTGGTCTAGCGAGATAGACTAGAGTCAGAGATAACGGTGAAGGGCAAAGCCAACTTGTATGCAATTACCATACCGCCAAAAACTCACTGATCCCATGAGAATCCGGGGCAAGGATGGAATGGAATGGCCATGGCAGAATCGAGGCCGACCCAGAGAGGCGGTGCCAGCCCAGCCCAGCCCAGATACGATGCTTCAGTGCAAGGCTACGTAACCCCTGCTGACTCCTCCAAACCTTTCCCATCTGAGCTGTTAACCCCATGTCACCGGCTTCTTGATTACCATCGCCTATTGAGAGCCCTGGCCGACAGGGAACCAGACTTTGGAAGAGCTGGGTCCAGGCCTAAAGCGGAACGAAAGGTTGAATGAGGAGATTTTGGTAAGAATGAGAACAATACAAAGTTTGAACTTCGAATTATGAATTGCTAGCAAAAAAAGAAAAAGAAACGTGATCGGCAAAAAACGATGAGGTCAATGGATTGGAATGCGGGTAAAGCAAACAAACCCAAAAAACTTCAAAGAGTGAAGATCTTTGCATCCAATGGCAGGAGGAGGAGCTAGAGCTATCGCTTCCATGTGAAAGCAACGCTGGGAGCTTTGCTTGACTTTCAGGGAATGCATTCCAGTTCTTACCAATTTGGGAGCTACACAAAACGGTTTTCCAACGTTTGAGCCACAGAAGCATAAAAACTGATTGTGCGTTACATAAATAACAATATGAAGTTATGTTTGTGTATAAAGTGCTTATGTGCAAACACAAACTCTGAATTGACTTCCGCACCGTCATCGATTAGCAATTGTTCCAAGGGAAGACCCCTGTAACCAACTCAAAGTCTCTCGGTCATGGATGGATGGATACTGGGTGTTTGGCTGGCTCTGCTCTGGTTTGCTGTCGCTTTCAGGGTCCATGCGGTTCCCCCCAATCGAATATCGTTCGTACGGTCCTGCTATTGCAGTTTGCGGTTTGCGTTTGACTCAAAGTTAGGTCAAAGTTCAAGGTTAGGCTCTTCTCTGCCCGTGCATGTTCTGCAGCCATTGTTTCGCCTGTCTACAACGTCAATACCAACGTGACTGTTTCGGGTTGCCGTTGTTGTCGATCATGTAAACAACACAGACAGCCTCATCATTCCCCCTGCGCATCGTGACTCTCTCGCTCTGAATAACTCCCAGCCACTGTCAGCCTTTACTGTTTCATTGAACCTCATTGCTTAGGCTTTGACCCAACCTCTTCCCCCACTGGAAGTCCACCGCGGAAACAAGGCCCCACTTCCCTGAAGCCCTCTGTAAGAAAAAAAAAAAAACACTGCAAAATCCTGTACATGCTGTAAGCGTCCACTGTAAGCTGCTGTACGGTCTCACAGCAGGACAAGCAGGTTTTGAACAGCTGCCAGTCTCTGAGCCAGTGAATATCCAGTATTCGTCTCCCCATCACCTTATTTTCACACGTCACAGACTGAACCCTTGTCGAGGGTTGCAGCAGAAGAAACAATCACCACCAGCCGCGAGAAGAGGAAGCACAGCAGCGTTTCGTCAAGGCTTCTCTTCCCCCGCTTCCGTGCCCCAGAGCCTGAACGTCAGCCAACCTCTTCATCCCTGCAGTCGAACAAGAGGTATACGCAGCTCTCGACTGCACTGCATGCATGTTGAGAACGCAACGTCGGGTAGAGTTAATCCATCACCGCCTGTCATTACAGACTCCATTATGCAGTTGGAGAGGGATCATTGAAGGAGAGGCACAACGGAACGACTCTGTACCGAAGATGAGAGCCACCTCACCGGTCATCAAGTCCACCGCACGGCATCACCTCACCCTCCACCACCTGTAGACAGATGTACAAACCTTACATTACATGGCATTACATTACATACGCATATTTTATACATAGAGTACGACACCGCGATAACACCTTATCACATTAAAGATACAGCCGCGGTTCTGAGTAGACGGCCAACACTTCATATGTAGTCGCGCCCAATCCTCGGTTCAATAACACGTGGACGACCGAGCGCTTGTTCTCAGTTACATCCACTGACTTCACCCGCAAGGCCCTGCCATTGCTCTGTGCTGTACTGCGCTTTGCTGTGCTCTACCCGCGAAGTGGTCCCAGCCCTGCCCAGCCGCCGCCCAGACAGTCAAGAGTTGCTCGCATACACAGAGAGACAGATGTCCGAGAACTCATCAGCAGTCAATCACCCCATGCATACTTCGTAACCTCCTCCCACCCTTTTGATACTAAATAAACAACCCGTCATGCCCGGATAATTTCTTCTTTTTCCTCGTCGACTCCTTGTTTGATCAAACACCAAACATTTGCCGACTCATCTGTCGTCATTGAATACAATCTGATACTGCCAAACATCGACATCACTTGTTACGAGTCACACACCCACCCTCACGAGGACAGCCAACCAGGACCTCTGAAACGACGAGCTAAAGCCAAAAAAGCAACCGGCAACCAGGAATCGTTTGTTTTTTTTCAACCACCCCAAACATCAACAAGAAAACAAGAGTCAGAGGGTCTACCACCAGAGTCAGTCCCCGCCCTAGAGCTAGAGGTAGTCTCTGCCGGACACAGCCCACTTGGAGCAGGAAAAAAATCCACCGTCGGGAACCGTCTCCTCGTTGACTCCTACCCAACGGTACCCCACCAATTTTTGTACGCTCAGACGCAGAGAAGGGGAAAAAAAAGTTGTGAGAGGAGACCCAGAGAGCGACAGTGGAGGCCAAGAGAGTCTGTCTCCTCTGTTCAAGCTTGGGCTTGGGAGAGACCCGCCTTGCTTTGGCTTTGGCTTTCTACACCCTTGTCTTGTTCACCTGCCCACTTTCACCCATCCACATCCATACCCTCCCTCCCAGGCCAGAATCCCACCCCGGTCTCAGTTCCCAGTGGGAAAAAAGAGAAGAGAGAAGCACCCCCGGTCCCCGGATCCGCCGCCACTTGGCCCGACAGACAGACAGCGACCTAGCCACTACCACTACCTTAGCTCCCAAAAAGACTACGCCAGGCTAACCCAACTTGGCTGCTGTGTCACTGCCTCTATCAACATCCACCTCCCGAGGCATCCCTCCAACTTTCTTGTTTTCCTTCTTCTTCTTCTGTTTTTCTCCCCCCAACACCAAAACAAAACAACAACAATACCATAGACAGGAAACGCAGTCGTTCGTCTTTTACGACAACTTCGCAATCATAACGGCCTCGACCGTCCAGGCCGACATCATGTCGCCAAGGCTCAAGCCGCTGCTTCTCCCGCAGTTGGTAGAGGAGCGCCGTAAGTGGGAGGTACAACAAGTTAGCCCCGAAACCGACCTCTCCTACATCTACTACACAACAAACTCGTCCTCCTCCGACATTACCTCTCCAATCACCCCGACTTTCTCCCCTGGAAAGGGTCACTTTCGAATGTCGAGCTCGACTTCTTCTCTCGATCTCCCACCGCAATTGAACGACACTCCTGTATCGCCAACTCAATCGATCCACACAAAACCCCCAATGCGGTCATTGCCCGATGTTGAAGAAGAGCCCTTGGAACCTGAACACACCACCACCACCGTCACAGACAACACAGAGAGCAGCGACCGTTATAGTCTTGCCCCTTCGGACCAGTTTAGTCTCTACGACTGTTTGTGTATGTCTTGTCCGCCTGGCCAGGCTGTCGTATCTTCCGGGAAATCGTGCTTGGCCTGCTGTCTTCGTCTTGGTGATCGTCGAGTTACTAACCCATACCCTTCCCGTGTAGGCGACAACCTGTGTGAGCCCCGAAATAGTTCCGAAGATGTCATGTTCCATGGAGACATCGTCCGCGACTATGATATCGACTACGACATGGGTTTCTTGAGTGACGGTGACACCCCCGTAGACGAGCGATCCCGCAAGAAGCGATCCGGCAGCGAGTCACCCTTTGCTGGGCTAACGTCACGAATTGGTGCCCGTTTCCCTAGTCTCACGCGCTGGAACCCCAACACCCGCAGGGGCAACCCGATGCTCTCACCTAGCACCGAACTCAGCTTGGAGAGCGTTGTGCTATCTGGAGGTCCTTCTAGTCGATCGTCGTCCATGTCTGCACCCAGCCGACCTGGACAGGAGCGCATGCTGGAAAACACTGGACTTCCCACCCCGGCAGTATCCTACTATGGCAGCACCGAGAGCATCAACCTTCCTGCGCCTATCGACATTGAGAAGGCGCAGGCCCTCGTCGAGCAAGCCGACCTCGAGCGAGAACGAGGACTGGCCACCACCCCTCTACTACCTCCTCTGATGACCAGCCCATTGAGCGGCCCACCGCCTGAGTCACCTTTACAATCACCAACCATTGCGCCACCCTCTGCGACTACCGAAGTACCGTCACCGGTCCCTTCTGCGACACAGTTCCCCAGACCTTCTCTGAGCACAAAGCCTTCAGTGTCGTCCTTCCGATTCGGTTCCAACAGCCCTGAGGTTCCGATTCCTCTTCCTTCGATCCTGCAGGAGCACGATGAGTGGTCGGATCGCCTTGGTCACGCCAACTTCACCATCACACCGCAGCCATATCAACCCGAGACTGTGAACATGGAGGCCCTCCAGCAGTTGCGCAACGACTGGGACGCAGCACGATGTAACTACACCAAGCACCTGGTGCGCACTGGCGAGAACTACGGCGAAACTAGCAAGATCTACGCTCTTACTGAGGCCAAATGGGCCGACATCGAGAGGCGATGGAGGTCAACACACGACGGACTCATGTCGGAGATTGTGCAAGCTACAAGCTCTGCTCCTGGTTCGACAAGCGCCTCACGAAGCCGCAGCCGTGGCCGCGGACGATCACGAGCCAATAGCGGCGGCTCTATCCTTGGTCGACCGCCTCCCATGGACGATGTCTTTGCGGGCATGCAATGGAAGCGCCTTGAAGATGGACTGCCCAGCGCAATTCCCCGACTGGTGGATGCGGATGGCAAGTTCCCCTCCCGAGGCGACGAAGACATTGTAGGACCCATGCAACGAGACGAGGTGATGCTACGGACGCACAGCGAAGAGCGCAAGGGAGCACGATTCTGGAAGAACCTCGCAGGCAAAGTCGGCCTGCGAAAATAATGGTCCCCTCCAGCAAACACGAACTGGACCCACGGGATCAACGACCAAATTAATGACTGCCACGACGATGACGACTAGAGTAAACTAGAAGTCGTTGGATGACAAAGCCAGCTATCATGGGGTTGCTGGCGTTTCTACTTCTTTCATGTCCTATTTTGCACTATTTTTTACAGAGATACCCCGACTCATGTCATTCCTTTTCCATTTTTCTGGGACATTGATCCCGATATAGCCACGACGGCACAACATACGACCTTGGCCTTCTCCGTGGGGAGGAGGCTTGCACATTATTGTTTATTGTTTAGAAGTGTACATAATGGGAAGTGCGGGGCGTTGAACAGAGGGAAACCTGGATATCGAAAAGCAAAGCGAATCGAGAAGACGAAAAGTTTAGACGGGACCTGGAACTGGACCTGGGGTACAAAAACAAAGAACAGTGAGCAGAGCAGAGCAGGACAGGGCATGTACTGCAGCTCTGGCTTGCAGGAGTTGGATTTGCCTTTTTACTTTTTACATTTCTGCTTTCCCCGCCATGAAACTGGAGTGCACGACATTGGCAACCTGACACAAGGATGCAATGCACAAACACAAGACAGCACAGCGCACATTACAAACATTTATCCCCGGACATTGCAGACGCAAGCAAGTAATGGGTTGATTTGATGGATTTGAAATCAAGGGAGAACATGTCACAAAGGGGGAGGGGGATGAGTGTGTACAATCATGTGTATGTATGTATCATGGAGGGATTGCATGACTATTTGGCGTATCTGGTTTGGAAACTGGCGGAGGGTGAGGGGACGATATTAATGGCTGTCAAAACTTGGACAGCTCTCCGGCCTTGGTAAACAAACCTTGGTGACGAGGAGATGAGTGAAGCAATGCAATGCAATGCAAAAAGAATAATAAAAAAGAATTAAAATAACCATCTTGCTTGCGTGCGTGTGCGTGTGTGTGTCTCAACTGTGACTGACAGCCCATGTCGTGGAATATGCCTTGGAGCTGTGGTCCAAACACGGGTCGTCCAAGCGAAGAGGCACAAACAATCCATCAATCGAATCGTCTCTTTTAGTTGGTAAGCACTCTACTCTAGACTGCATTTGAACATGCCGTGATACCACAGCGCGGCACGACGCGACCCTCCACAAGCAGCCCCCCCTCTCTCAGCAAACACGAGTTTTAGCCAAAAAGAACACGGGTTTTTTCAGCTTGTTTATTGGATAGTTTAGTTTCGAGTGATGACGACACCAGATGCAGTTTTTTAATTCTAATCATTTATTTGGCAAAAAGAAGGTGTTTGAACGCCAGAGTGGTACACATGGGTTACGCAGAGGGGGGGGCTTTTTGTTTCGTTTCATGGCGTCGGGGAAGGGAAGGATGAGCCGTGGTTTTGACAGCAGATCTGGTGTTTCACTATGATGCGGGTTTCCGTGAGGGGTTTTTTCAGGTTTGTAATTGTAGCAAGTGGTGGTGAGGAGTGAGAGGTTGTGTGAGATAGAAACGGGTATGTGCATTCACAATCGGGGATGTGTGCTTTATTTAGACCGTGGACGCGTGGAGGATGGGATGGGAAAGATCCTTGTTGGGGGTTGAGAGGGTTTGACAACCTTTTTGGAGTTTGGGGGGGTTGTGAGGATGAGGTTTGGGTTTGGTGATGCTTGGTGATGGTCATATTTGGAGTTTGGCGATGTTGGAGTTTGGAGGTGATGTGAATGATGTGGTGATGAGAGATTGTAGATATGCTGCCTAGATGCAAACTGGCCTGGGACAGGTATAAATAGGGCTCTTGAGAACGCTGAAGACTTTGAACTTTCTCAACTGTCTAACTCAACGTTATAGTAGAACACCAACAGCCTACTCACATCCATTCCCTTGTATAAATTATATTTTACTTCTCTGTCCATTCGATTCTTTCACAGAAATCCCGGCAGTCGACGGCGGAAAGGTGAGCCTTGTCACAGGAAGACCTTTGTCTACGATAACATATGCTAACCTGATGATGGAATACTTCAGATGTCCTCTGATTACAACAATGTCGCAGACTGTCAACCTGAGTCGCCTTCCACTGTCTTCTCACACATCTTCCTACCTTGTAAGTACATCTGACTACTTCCCTGCTCTAGATACCAAATCTAACAGACCGACAGATGAACAAAGCCTGAGCATGCTTGATCTCATCATGTCTATGTTGGAGAAGCTCCGTCCCATCCCGAAGGGCCTGACAAACCCTCCCAGCGCGGATCTCGCTCGCTTTGAGAAGCTCCCCAGCGACGTTATGAACAACATACTTGTTCAACTCGACGTCGAGTCTTTTCGTAGCTTCCGAAATGTAAATGCCAAGGCTCACACTTCTACATGTAACACTTGCTAGTGAACTTCGAGGGAACCGAAAACGGAGAACTCAGCAGTAGGGAGGCTGCAGGATAACGGTGCCTTCTTTACCACCCAAGCCCTGGTGTATCAGTACGGCATGCCTCGTACAGAGTTCAACATTGTTATATGTAAGTCTACAAAATGCTATAAGAAATGGGTACATTGTTGGTCTGGCCTTGCGCCTCATGCTTCTTCACACGCAAGCACAGCCAGCATGACTTGTCTCCAAACTGTCATCCACTAGAAGAGACTTTGCAGAGAACCAGGCAATATTCGCTCATATAGGGGCCAAAAGTTTAACGACAGTGTATTTTTCCCATTAGTCTAGAACAGACTGCGAGGTGAGCTGGAAAAGACTCGTGGGTTTTTGTCTATATGGAGTATTATACTGACAACATATTTGACAGAGGGGGTTCCACGAACTCTTGCATATGCGGAACCAAGCTATCTTTCGAGAAGAACGTCCGATATAGAATTAAAGCTGTTTCCCGAAGCATTCTACTGAAATTTCTCATCAAGCAGCAAATTGTTGAACGCGACGACACGACGAGGCAAGCAACTCCTGGATCCATCAGAATATACGGCAGCAGTAGCATTTGTATACCTACCACGCAACGAGAGAGTGCTACACCTAATACCCAGAAGTTTATCTATTCATGGGGAGAACTTATTCGACAACTTGCAGCCTTAGTCTTCAAGATGATGAGGAGCCAGAGACCAAAATGGGTTTTCGACCCGAAATGATTTTATGTTCAGTGTTGTGTGCGGACTATAACCCGCAACGTCCTTGGAACATAGAGGATCTACCTAATGTATAGCCTTCAGGAACATGACCCAAACGTCCATATTAAGTACCAAGTTGGCATCGTGTTTCAAGAACGTCAAGACATGACATAAGGTTTTGCGACACGCGGTCGGGGCTCCCTTAAAACCACAGATCTTGAGATTTTCTTCTCCATGTCTCCAAAGTGAGATCACCGAAGCAGATAATATTCGCTTTGGGGGAGTTGCCGAACAGGATGGCAGATTAACCTAGGAGCACGTCGGCGCAGATGGACTTCACTCCCCCTCGGTCTCCCAACTCTGGAGACTTCCATACCTCACAAAACAACGTCGGTGTAATGACTGCGGTGAGTTTAGGAATCACTCAGTTACCGCAGACATTCATACCAAGACTTTCGCTATATAAATTCTCCCGTTCCCAGATGATCTCAACAGTCTCGGATTGCACACGTACATTCAGACCAAAGCATACGACGACCGGGGTCAACTCCAGTCCGAAGAAGACAAGGCTGAGTGGAAGTATTGGGCCAGCTGCTTCAAGAAATTGGGTCTTGCGACACATCTGGCACTCTCCAATTTAGAGATGTCTTCTATTACTTCCCCTTCCAGTCTTTATATATATAAACCGATGAATCAACCAGGCCATCTGTGAGAAGGCATATCCGAGCAGCGAGGAGAAGGGCCAATGACGCGGGTCTTGGCTATCACAAGCAAGTCAAGAGCGTCGGAGCTGAAATGTATTATGGGACACGATAAGATCTTTTGAACACTCGCCACTTCTACCGAAGCAAACGATGCTAAATCCAAGGCTAAAGGAAGAGGCAGCCCAGGCCAGTGAGATCCCGTTCAACATCAAGAGAGCTGGTCTGGGAGAGGAAGAGGCAGTAGGATCAAGAATCTTCACCTCAGATGCCACGCCAGCCGTGTGGTCCTCAACGAAGCACACTTCCTAAGAATGTGAAGCCATCTCCGACTCATCTTATCCCAGAATGCGGCGTCTATACTGAAGATATCACCGTCCTCGAAGGAGGAAGCTGTCGTCGCACTAGAAACCACCAAGGGATCACAAGATCCTGACAATACAGATACAGTTGTAGGAGACGACGAGAGCGTGCTGATGAAGAGGGTAGCGAGCCCTCGCCAGAGCCAACTCATGTGACCACCAGCGTCAGAAAGATAAAGAAGACCTTCAGGATCTCGATTGGGCTGCCCGCAGGGGTGAGCTCGTCAAGAAAAGTTATTAGAAACTACATCTTTCTTTGGCGCACTAGTTTTCAGTAGTCTTGCGATCAAACGCTGTGCCATCCTTGCCACAGGGTAAGTCTTATCTACTAAGAAAAGTGCACTGCTAACACAAGATTCAGGCACATGAAGGTCAATTTAGAGCCTGGCTGCCCGTCCCGTAGACCTCAAGTCAAGCGGCCTCTCATACAATATATTGCCACCTCCTCGGTTCGTCCTCCATTAGGTGCACCTCAGACCCAGATCCTCATGCAACTGTCCAGATAACCATTGACTACTTGACAAACACAACACACTCGCCACCCACCCATAATGGGACAAGTCAAGCGACGCGAGTCACCAAAGAGCCAGAAGATGCTTCGGCGCACCAGGCGATATAAAATAATGACTTGCCAGGATTTATCTGCTGCTGATATATTCTCTCAACTTCAGAACCAAGTAACAGGTAAGTATAGAACGATACCATATGATGAATTCTGGATTCATGCTAACCTGTGACTCAGCCTTGAGTGGCTCACGAGCCGCCAACAGCACCGTCAATGAATGGAATGTAGAACACTGCCTGCTAGCTACCCTCGGACAGCGGAACAGCCGCGCCAACCGCACAGCGGTAAACTCAGGCAGGCTTTGCGTCAACTTGACCTTCGCGCTGACTTTTGTCTCCGGCGAAGCTAGAGCAGACAACACATACCTAGTTCCACCGTCTTGGCCATTGCGCTTCATGACATAGCAACAAGGGAGAAATCCGTTATAAATTACTCCAGAGGGCAGCAATACTCTGTAGAGTTCATCATACTGGCTGGTTTCTACGGTGGTGATGGTAGTGATGAAGAACCTGATGCAACAGGGCCCGCCAAAGAGTCTATACTATACCAACTCAACAACAACGTAGGCTTGGAAACGTTCGTTGAATCGCGAATCCACTATGATTTTCCGAAGAGGACATAATATCGCCATTGAGCAGCTGAGAAGAAGGTGGAATTCAGCCCCCTATCCTGGTGGGAGGTCGAGCCCTTAATTGGAGATTACTACTCCATCGAGGAGCGCGGCTATCATACATGTCACCCCGGATTTCTTGCACGTGTCTGGATTATCCGATCCGAGAAGGATCTCCATCTCACCAACCAGCCTCATCACCACTTTAGAGATCAAGACTCCATGGGGGTTGTCGACAACAAACTTCTTTTCCCGCCAGACTGAGTGACTCCACTCCCACGGTGTTCCCTGAGACTTCCTATACAACAAGGGAAATTCCACTCTGGGACTGGAATAATAAAGTCTCTGTGCTAGTCGAAGCCATTTACGAACATGAGGCAACAAAGCTGAGAGCAACGTATAAACCGAGTTAAAGTCCACTATACTATTATCCAACAAATTTTAGCAGGAAGGTCATCGAGGATGACGCGTTCTTAGTCCTGGAATGTCTGGAATCTTCATCACCCATCAACACCGAATCCTGATCCTTCGTGTTGAAGAACTAAGCGGAGAGAACTGGAGAAAGGCATGAAAATGGGTGCAACCCTTTATACTAGGCGGTGTCAGCTACATCCAGATTGCAACAACGACGCCCAACATGTCTTTTCTGTAGTTTCTATCTGGAATGATGATCCAGGCGTCAACGGAGTCTGGGCTACTAGATTGGTTATCTCATGAGTTACTAGAGCTATACCTGTGCGAATGCCTGAAAGCATAATGGCACCAGCCATTCAACCGGTACGCTTGGATTGTTGAGAGAGAGTATGCTGGTTCAGAGATGGTATATCGCTCTGAGCATGTCTAGATCCTCGGACACATATTTTCCATGATTGCTACTATCTGTCTCACTGGAAAGAAGGGTTAGGGCATGTGTGCTGACCATAAGACTGAACGTCCTCCCAACATCGAGGACCGACCGTACATTGACCTTCACGCCTCTCAATTTGACGACATCATCAAACTTCTCAACGCCTCGCAACAGGATTTATATATCCCTTTATATTCACGTTATATAATTTTCAAGCATGAACCTAGACCGGACCTCGATTATGTCTTCGTTTCGCTACGAATCCCCTTGCATAGATGGCCAGCTAGCCACTGCAAGGAGTACGTGGATGAAAGGCTTCAAGTACCAAACGAGATCAAAGCTTGAGGGAACATACTATCTTGGGATATTGAGAGCCCCGAATCAGACAGAAAATGCCACAGGAGCCAGCAAAATTGCTTCCTCTATGCGACCACGGCGGAGACGAAGGCGTTGACAGCCACAACAGTCAAAAAGCACAATCATTAATTCATGCTCCAAGGCTCAGTGAGAATCCCTTGTCAAAGTAAAGATATATAATTTCAGTACACCAGGCCATATTAGGTCAGCTCTCTGGTGTCGAGAGCCCAGGCTTTGGCGTCAGTCCAAAGCACTGGACCAAGCAGCATTTCGCTATCTCAGGCTTCTACCTATATGAGATCCAATGCAACGATGCAGCTGCCCCTGCAGGTTTTGAAACACAAGTTGCGAGGCGCCACCTATGAAGCTCAGGACTCTTTCCTAAGCCACGGAATCCGATCAGACACACGAACACCATGGACCTTCGCAAACGGATGGGATTACCTAAGTGATCCCGAGGACGCCTCACAATATTCTCCTGCTGATTCGCGATTCTCACCGCCCAACATCGGCTTCTACGGGTACAGCCGCTCAGACAGATTCGTGCCCGAGGACACATCTTGAGAGAACCTTTATTCACCCACAGAGCTCTGTCTACTTCAACAACTCCTTAACTTTCAATGGCAGATATACTATACATACGATGAGGGGAAAAGGGAAACATTTCCTGGCAGTGTGTTGCCTAAGAGCAAGGCGAACCAACACCGGCCTCCCCTAGGTCTTATATATAAACACATGAACTTCCACTTCCACTTCCACTCACTTACGAAAAGCCCTCATTGGGTGACTTTCCCCGTCTGTCATGATCTACTCAGACGTACACCACCTGACTGTTCCTGAGAAGAGCTCAAGAACCAGCTCGAGATGACTGAAGACCTTGAGGCTGCAAAGTCAGAACTTTCCAATGCAAAGCAAGGCTCAAAGGGAAAAATCAGAGAACGTCAGAGAATCAATTAATTCCCCCCCTATCCAGTTATAATGGTAGTCAACCATGGCATTTACAAAGACAATCTATCCTACCTCGTCTCGACAGACTGTTGCTGTTGACTGGCTTCTTCAACATGGCGCTGACCCGGATAAGACGCTCGCGGAGGCTGTTCTGATGAGTATGCGGCATTTGCTCTGGCGTTTCATCGCGGTTACGGGTTGTTGGAGAATGCGATTCCTTGCCGATCCATTCTTTTCGATCTCCTTGAGGCCGGTCACTTCAGAGAGAGTTCCGTCTGCTTCAGGAGAGGTATGGATGACATCCAGACACTATATATACCCACGGCCAGCCCTTCGACACATGATGGACTGTCGAAGATGCAACTTAACGTCCCGTACATCAAATAATGATACATGGGTTGCGGTCTTGCTGTCCAAGCCTAACTGAGTTGCATTAACACCACCTATTACATCGTCAAGGGGCCCCGAAGCAGTCCAAAGAAACTTACCACATCATTTCACACTTAATACCAATTAATATCATCCAACATGGCCACAAGCGATCCAAACAACCAGCAGCACGAAATCGACTCCCTGATTCGCCACAGAGTGAACCGACAAAGAAAGGAAAGGCGTGGTTATTATGCCGAAGAGATGATGGTGCTGCGCGTGATCGAGTGGCTCGCCGCAGCTCAGCGAAACGAAACCCGTCGCATCCAGCACAAGATCTGGACACTCCATCCGGAAGGAAAACACTTCCGAGCTCTAACCCAGAATTCTTGGATCAAGGTGGCATATATATAACGTATTCCCATAGTCGCAAGACTTCTTGATGAGGCCAAGATTTGGCGGAACCCTTCAGCTCGTTCTTCCAGTAGCACCTCGTGATATTCAACCGAAACGTGGGAGGATGTTTCTTTTCATATTCATAGTATACAGACCATGTACAGCGACGATATAGCACCTTAATCTGACGGTGTTTGGTTCTTGCCTTTTTATCAAGCCCTTCATTCAGACATTTCTGGACATGGAGAGCTGATTAACACAGCTTCAGTTCCAATGGACTTGGCTATCATAATATTATAGCTTCCTATATAACTAACCCGGGATGAGCCAAAACATCCAAATTGGAAAAAGTGTGGTCTGCCTGGCCTGATACAAGATCGCTATTAGGGCTTGAGAAACAAGTCATTAGGCGCGCTGATCGAATGCCACAGACCAAAGACCGAGATCGATATGACGGACACGGAGTCCCCCAGATGAAGACCCCCGAGCTCCTCGAGCTTGCCAGCAGGGACTCAACAGCGTCGACGGCAGTGGCAGCTGAAATTGCCAGACAATTTCAGCTTGACCGGCTGCTGTCGGACGTTGACCCTGTCTCGAATATACCTCTTGGCGAGATTTTGTCAAGATATGAGGTCGGGGCGGACTTCCGCCTCTACGACGACGAGTTCATCCAGCCGCTCTGCTTACACCAACTCTACGGTAAGTTATTTAGTGATCATTTTATCCCGCCTGGGATGAACTCTCCTGGTATTTCGTCCTGGCCTGGATCAAATTATTCTTAATTTCCTCCCATCGATTCCTTCTCATCCCTCCCCCGCGCCAAGTCATTCACTACGACACCCGAAAATAAGACAAGGCTGCAATCGAAAGCATCTATTATCGCGTGCATGGGATACCAGCATGCCAGCTTCTAATCCTTACTATGCCCCCCGTAGCTTTGCTGCGGTCAAGAATGTCATGGTATGGTGGGTGACGTCTGCCATCAGATACACCAGCTGATGGTGCAAAGACTCAACCTTCGTCGCAAGATTGACAGATTGGACTTGCAGATGGAGTCTGCACGCCTGGCCGAAATTATGTATCCACACATCATTCCCGCCGAGGCTCTGGGAGATACGGAAGAGGAGGAGATGCGTGCAAACGGTCTGGTCGTCAAGGTGCCACTAGAAACACAGGAAAAGAAGCTTGGCTCATCAAAACCAAGAAGATTATCACTCGAAATCTATCGAACCTTAAGGGAGAGAATGTCGCCAGGATTGACGTCGTCAGTCTTTACACAGCCAATTCATACGGTCCGGAGATTGGAGAAATGAATGTGTATATGCTCTTCACCTGTCCAAAACCAAGAACTTATCTGCCTTGGGGACTGACGATGCTTTGAGACCCCGTTGGCTCGAGTACAACTGATCAACATCACATCCGCAGCGTTCAACGGAATACATCAACGACAGTTCAGTAGTGTCAACACTGGACATGGCATTAAATTCTCAGCAAAATTTGGCCATTCCTTATCGTGCGCCGTCTCAAGAAGCCTTGTACACCATCCCTCTGAACCGTAAGACCAAGGATGAGTTTACCGCTCAAGCCATAGCCGTATGTCTCTTTACCAACAGGTCCAAATCTCCCGCTCAAGTTCCAATTCTGGCAGAGTGCCAGGTTCATCGAATAAAAGCATGAGGATGGTTTGAGGCGGAGCAGGCCATTCGCAAGAACTTCCGTCAGGGTCAGATCTGGGATAGTAGACACTGTGACAACCTCAGAGCAGGGCCTCCCTACCGTTGGGTTGGGTTGCCAAAAGCAAATCCACATACACCCCCACGCAAAGATCTAAACAAAAGCATATCGACTCTTTCTTTGCGCGTGAGTGAGAATCTTCA